CAGGGACGGCCTCCAGGGGAGGCTGGCTGGAGCTCCGGGAGTTGGAGTCCTTAAGGAAATTGGGTCCCCTGTTTTTGCCTCAATCTCCTGCCCCCTTGATCATTCATTACCCTCGGAATAGCCCTCAGCAAGCTCTCCTTGATGCTTTGGTTGCCAGGGTGATTGGGGGTGGTGGCAGTTGAGGTGACAAGGGAGGGTCCAGGCCACCTGGTGGAGTGTGATAGGATCTTGGAACAATAGTTTTTCTCACCGGGGATGTTTTATGAGTTTTATGAGTTGTCCCTCCCTGCCAGCCCATTAATGGCTGAGTAGCTGCCTGACAGCAGAAGGGAAAAGAAGCTTGGGGGGATTTTTTGATGCCAAGCAAATCTCCCTGCTTATATTAGGTACCTGGAGCTGTCCTCAGGTCCTGTGAGTTGGAGGACTCAGTCCCAACAGGCTAATCTGGTTCAGAAGGCAGGAACAAGGGGTGCCCAGCAATGGGGGATTCCCCAAATCCCCTCTCAGACTCAGTAATTTCACACCAGAGTCACAGAACTCGGAACTCATTCTGCTGCTATGTGTTCATCTATTACAAAAGGCCAAACTCCCGGACACACAAACGAGAGAGTCACGGACCAGGGACGAGAGGAAGGAGTTACCAGAGCCCCCAGGTCTTCTCCAGCTTCCCCGGGTCGCCAGCCTGGGACTTGCCCATTCTTGTTCGAGAGTTTTTATAGACGTCGATCTCCAACCTGCCCTAAGCCTGGAGGTTGGCGGGGAAAAGGGGACTGGCATTTTTCACCTTCAAATCGACTATTTGTTCTTTCTGGTGACCAGCCCCAAGCTCTACTGTAGTTCACCTTATTGGCCTGAGTCCAATGTGGTCAAAACCCAAAGACCAAAGAGCTTTTCTTATGATGCCACAGGAATGGAATGGGCATGGTCAGAGGGAAATGACCAGCAGAGGAGGTCTGGCAGGGCCACGGCTGACCACATGCGGAGCTCCGGAGCCTGAATGGCCTTTCAGTAGGTCCCCATGTTGGCCCAACATGGCCAGATTGTCCTTGTCCTACAACCCCGTGAGCTGTACCAGGAGGAGGGAGGCAAACCTTGGAGAAGGCAACTCCCTGTGGGAGAGTCCAGACAGGAAGGGGCTGACGAACAGAGGGTCCAGAGGTCCATCTTCAGAATATAGTATTTAGCCTTACCTGGGGACATAAGATGCAATGGTAGCCATTTTAACATAGCCCTGCCCTTCGCCCACCCCAATTTTAAAACTGGCCAATCCTGTAGATTACGATCCTGAGCTCCTCCTATCAGAGCTAGGAGCGGAGCTTCATTGTGGATAAAAACAGGTGGACGGCCCACCCAAGCAGGCTTGCTGGCTGGACTTTGTCAGAAGCACTTCATCAGTAGCAGGTGCTTCTGCAGAAGCAAAGTTCGCCTTGCGTCCAAGCACCTGTTTGATTCCTCAGTCCTCGGGTACTTCTAACACGGGGGCCGCACCTGCTGAGACTCATTGATTGACAGGGAGAATGAGTCCCCAGGTGCTTCCAGCCTGCAAGAGGAGCTACAGCAGTACAGGAAAGTGCCGGGCAGATGGGTGCAGGGGAGACAGGTGGAAGTAGAGTGATGAAGGAAGCCACTCAGAGCCCCAGGGGACGTGGCGGCACCTACACATGGCCATGCACACCCTCTGGTCTCAGCAAGGAAGGCGGTGCATTAATGGACACAGCCAGCCCCTGAGTGCATCTCCCACCTGTCACTCTATTAAACTGGACCAGGGCCACTTCTTTGAGAGTCGTCTTTGGCAGTATATTGTCACTTTCTCCTTCCACAAAGGGTTTCCCCTCCCTGATCCGTTCGTAAGCATCAGGCCTCCTCCCCTTGGTCCTGCGTTCTGACTTCTAAAGGAAAGCCACCCCCACCCTGCTGAGTGGTCATAATGTTCATTGCTGGGGAAATCTTGCTTTCCGTTTACAGAACCCCAAACACCCGGCGAGCTTTGTGATGTCAGTGCTTAGTCTTTTATTTCTATGCATCGACTAACACAAATCAGGTAAATGTCTTCAACTTGCAGAAAAGGAATACGTACATTTCAACAAAAGAAACACCCCGAGAGGTTGAGGTTTATTGCCATGTCCAGCCAGAGGAGAAAATGGAGACCCCCCCCCCCACCGCCAGGTGATGGAAACTCCGTTCAGCAGGCACCCTTCCTGCCCGCCATCTCAAGGTCCCTCTTTTCCCTCCTAAAAAAGCTCTTGTGCTCCCGAGTTCCCCAGGTCAGTGCTTTGAGGACAGTGGCCCCCTCCCTCTTCCAAGGTGCCAGATGAGGAGTAAACCTGATTCCTTCCTATCAACCCTCATCTCCTGGATATTCGCTCTTGAGCGGCCAGCAGCTGCTACGTTAGAACAGAAAATAGATTCTCAACCACAACCTCAAAGCCAAGGGGAACCCAGAGGCAAAGGAGGAAGCAGCACCATGCCCAGTCAGTCCCCTGGGAGAGGAGGAATGTGACAGAAGAGCCTCAGAGTCTTGCTCAGCTCTCGATGCCCACAGGCCTGCGGAGGAACTCGCGGGATCAGGAGGGTGGACGGGGCCGTGGTGGAGCCTGGGGAGAGACCCGCCTTCACTTGTGGGAACAGGAGCCTGCAGACTTCTTGCAGACCCAGGATTTCTCAAGGTCACATCTGCTGTCATTCCAGCCGTCCCCTCTGAACTCCACGCAGTCTTCCTCCCCGTGATTGTTGGGCTCCCCTTCGTTCCAAAACTTCATGAATCTGCAAGCCAGACGAGCGTGAGCTCCGCCCCAGCCCCACTCGAGGAGCCCCGTTCCTGCTCCGGGACATTGGACGCTCTCCCCGCTTCCCTTCAGGCCTACGGCAGATAGATGAGTCTAGTTCTGGACCCCAAGGCCCCTTGTCCCCCATGCTTGAGGATGAGAACCAACCAACCAGCCGAGACTCCACATCCCAACCGCCTCCCTTACTGTGCTCTTGAACTCTGGGCCTCTGTACACCTCCCCCGGGCCTGGTACAATACACCCAGGGACAACATCTACACCCCAGAGCCCACTGGTGATCTGAACCAGTCACCACCAAGCCTGCTTAGCCCAGCTTGCCTGTTTCTTCCCGTGAACACCACAATGACTGTTCCTTCCCACAGTGTCTCGCCCTTTGTCTCCTGGCAGACCTTGGCACACTCTTGGGTAATTCCCCGGGGCAGGCTGTGTGTGCCCTCACTGGGGATCTGAGTGTAAAAAGTCACCCTTCCAGTGACAAGAGCCCCAGACTGGCTGGTCTTACGAAGCCTCAGGCTTCCTACTCAGACACTTTACTGTAAATCACCAACCCTGGCTGCAGACTTCTTGCAGATCCAGAGCCTCCTACATCTCTGACAGGGGGGTTTACGAGGTCGCCCTCCCACCTTAACGTGGGTCTCAAGACCCCTCCCTTGTCTCAGTAAATGCCACACTCTTAGGCCTAGAGGGCAGCGTGGGGGAGCTCAGGGCAGAGTTTGGGAAACCCAGCCCTCTCTCTGGGGAATGCCCTTCTCCAGGACCTACCTGAAAAACAGAGGCGACCCATCCACCCAGAGCCACGTGCCTTCCTTATTCAGGTCTGACAGTCCCATCCAAGTGCTGCCTTTATTCTTAGAAGTCAACTGCAAGAAGTTCTGGAGGGGAGAGGAGGAGTCAGGAGGGAGCTCAGACCCCCAAGTTCCAGCGAGTGTCTCACCAATGTCTTGATGGCAAGTTCTGCTTGCAGTCTGACCTTCAGCCTTCTCGTGCACCAGCCAGCCCCCAGGTGTGCTCAGGAGGTCTGAGTCCCTCCCGCATGTGTGCGCTACGGACAGGTGTATTTGGACTTGTGCACACGACGCACAGAGCCGCCTCACATGGCACACACTTGGCAACACCTCATGTTCACCGTCCTGTGAGTTCTGAGCATGATTCCCAGGAATTTACCCCCGCCCGGCCTCCATGCAGGGCATGTTCTGTATCGAGTGGTGCCCAGCTCAATCCAAAAGTAACAGTGGAAAATTTACACCAGGGAAAATGGCAAAGGGTATATATATCAAGGCTTTTTGTCTCAACAGACCAGGTTGCTAAACACCAGCTAGCACGACACCAGGGACCACTCACAATTTAGGTGACCCCCAAAGTGTTCAGCCACTTCCAGAACTGTGTGTGTCTCCTATGTAAGGTCTTAGAACCCTCTCATTCAGAGTCTCTTCCTCTAAATGGTCCCGAAAATGTGTCCTAACCAACCACCTCCTTCCAGGTGGCCAGTGACCAGATGCATGCTCAGGCCGGAACAGGGACCCCCACCAGACACACCTGCTCCTCAGCACTTTTGATGATGACTAGGTGGGCTCCCACTTCCTGGCAGGCGGTGACAGAGTCATTCCAGTTCCGCTGGGACTTGGAAAAGAAGTAACAGTGTCCTTGGAAGAACGTCCAGTCCCAGGGGCAGGGGCGGCACAGGCGGTCTGTTGGGGGACAGGGTCAGGACCCGTGCTGGGAGGCCAAGCTCCTGTGTCTGCCCCACCTTCCAGCCCTGAGAGTTGGGGGCTCCTTCCACTGCATCTGATGGCTGTTCCCTCCCCTCTCCCTGGACCTCTCCCCCTCCAGGAGAACCCAGGAGTCCTGGCACAGTCTCCTCCAGACTGGGAGAAGTAGGGGCTTCAGCACTCAGACAGAGACCAGGAGACTGGCTTCACTGGGTGCCCACTGTGCGCCTGGCCTACTGTGGGCAGCGAGGGATGTTGTCACCTTCCCGTTTGTTTCCATTTCTTGGTTGAGGAAACTGAGGCTCAGAATTGGCCCTTGACTCAGGCTGCGCCACCCAGACCCTCTGAAGCCTGGGGACCCTGTTCTCCTGTCACTCACCCAGTTCAGCCTCCGCCTGGGTTAGCTCTTGGTAGATGTCCTCCTGCTTCGATCTCTTCTGCTCATAGAAGTGGGAGAGCTTGGAGACTGGGCCAAAAGAGAGAGAGAGAAAAAAACTGCACTTACTGAATACCTACTGTGTGTCATGGCCTGCACTGGGTTCCCAGGGACACAGTTTCTGAGGGACAACATCTTGTTCAATCCCATTTGAAGATGAAGAACCCTGACACCCAGAGAAGGCTGAACCTCAGGGGGAAGTGGAACCAGGACCCTCCCCCTGTAGCTCCCCGCTCCTCCTCGGCCCTCAGAAGTGCCGAGAAGGCGCTGAGAGACCCCGTCCCGGCTTTCAGCCCACCTCCCTCCCACACCCAGCTGCCCCAGCCCTTGGGCCTTCCCTGACCTTTGACAAGGACGGCCATCAGGATCCCGGCCAGGAGCATGAGGCACAGCAGCTTCAGCACCAGGGGGATGTGGCCACGGCCCAGAAACCCTGCCAGAGAGAAGGATGGGTGGCCCGGAAAGCCAGCGTCCCTGCCTCAGCCTGGCCCAGGGACAGCCTGGCCCCAAACCCCTCTTTCCCAGGGCACAAGATTCCAGTCCCATGACTTCCAGCTGTCCACAGCCCAGAGGTCCCCAGCCTTCAATTCCCCAGGACCGAGGAGTCCAGTTCCCAGATTCCTCCCCCCTAGAACCCAGGAATCCAGACCTTCAACCTTCACCTCCACAGGACCCTGTAGTCTGCTCCCCCAGACTCAAGGACCCCAAAACTCTGGTGTCCAGGTTTCCAGCCTCAGTCTTCCCAAGACACAGGGGTTAAGACCGTCAGCCTTCACCGAGAATCAAGTGTTCAACGTCCACTCTCACTACCCAGGAGTCCACTGAGGAGCCTAGTCCTCAGCCTCAACCTCCCCAGGACCCAGGACCCTGGTCCCCATTCTGCACTGCCAAGATCCTGCCGTCCAGTCCCCAGCCTCCACGACCTTAGGACCAGAAACCAGACCCTCAGCCTCTGTTTCCACAAAACCCGAATATCCAGTCCATTTCCACCTCTCCAGAACCCAGGAATGCACTCAGCCTCCACCTTCACCAGACCAGTGGGGTCCTGTCCTCTATATCCACCTCCTCGAGACCCCAGGGGTTCAGACTCCAGTTTCTATTACCCCAGTATCCAGGAGTCTGTCCCTGGCCTCCAACTCCCCAGGACACAGACATCTGGGTGGACCTGTCCTTTACTGCCCACACCCCAGCCCCGCTCTACCTGCAGTGCTCTTGAGGCCGCCCGTGGGTCGGAATCCAAAGCGTTGAAAGGAATACTTGGCGCCGCTGGCTGTCAGCTCTTCCTCGTCTGCATGGGCAGAGCGTCAGCCAGAGCCTGGGCAGCTGAGACCCAAGCTGGCCTCCCATACCCCCTCCCAGCTCCCAGAGGCCCAGCCCAGCCTCACCCAGGGGACCCAGCTGCTGCGCGTCCACATCCTGGAAGTCACTCATGCTCACCGCTGTCTCTCAGTGCCCAGGACTGCTGGGATCTCAGCCTTTATTCCCACCCCCTGTAACTCACTCGCTGAATCTACTGAAGGTCAGGAAGAGAAAGAGGGAACTGGCTAGGGGCACTGGAAGATGCTAAAGGGATGGGCCCCCCATATTCCAGGAATCTCGGGCAGCAGTGGGAGTGGCCCGGGCCCGTAGCTGAAAGGACTGGTCCACTCACGGTGTGGCCAAGTCATGGGGTGCTTTCAACAGAACCAGGAACTCGCTGCCTCAGCTTGCTGGTGTCCTCACTGAGGGTGCCTCCTGCTGGCTTCGGGGACGGGGCTGAATCATCATGGCTCATGCCTACTCTGCGCTGCTCGGACCAGGCTCCTTTCTAACTGCTTCCTAGACTCACGAGTCCAGTCTCCCCAGGCTGTGTAGATGGTCTGACCTGCACCTTACAGTTGAGAGACAATGAGGGACAACGTGGTCAGGTAACCGACCCCACGGTCACACACTGGTGAACAGCAGAGCTGGGATTTGAACCCAGAGATTCTGCTTCCAAGTCCACACCATGAACCAAAGAGGGTCACATAGTCTCAAGGAGGAAACCAAAAGATGCCTAGAAGCTTTATTCAAAATAGTCCCAAATGGGACCAAAAAAAAAAAAGGAGGCCACCAGCAGGTGAATAAAAACAAAAAATCCTGGGGCTAGGGTTGTGGCTCAGTGGTAGAGCGCTTGCCTAGCATGTGTGATGCCCTGGGTTTGATTCTCAGCACTGCATATTAATAAATAAAATAAAGGTCTATCGACATCTAAAAATATATTTTTAAAAATCCTGCCATTCAATGAGTGGAATGCTATACAGCAACTAAAAAGCAACCTGCTGATCCAGGCAACAAATACATGAATGTCAAAAAAGAGCAAAAGTATTCAGACATAAAGCGTATGTACTCTGAGGTTCGATTTTATATGGATTTCAAGAACAGGTAGGACTGACATTTGATGTGGACTCAAAATGGAGTTTACTTACAAGGGGTGAGTGGGGATTGGCCAGGAGGAACACCAAGAAGTCCCTGTGAGCTGGAGATGTACCACATTTTTATGTGAGAGATGTTTTCAGAGGTGTATTCCTACATAAAATGCTAGAGCTAGAAATATAAGACTTTGTGTGTCATGTTCTGACTAGAAAATAGGAAATGCATGCATCACGATCAGATAGTGAGGATTTCGACCTTCTATTCACTTTGTTTTTATTTGGGCTTTATTCTTCATTTTAGAGTAATTTCAGATTTGTGGTCATATTGCAAAAACAGAGCAGAGGCTTCCCACAGTCCTCTCATCAAGTTTCCCCTAGCGTTGATCTTCTACTTAAGAGAACATGTTAGAAATAGTGAATGTGCCCAGGTCAATTTCTTATTTATGACACACACAGTGACCTTCGTGGGTTTTCTAGATTTCACTATCTGGTCCCTAATGTCCTTTTCTGCTCCCAAATCCCACCCAGGATGCCACCTTGTGTCTAGACAGTCACATCTCATCTCGGGATTTTCTGTGCCGGGACAATCTCACTGATCCCTTGTTTTCGATGACTGTGAGCATTTGGAAGACCACAGGTCGGGCATTTGTGTACCGTCCCTCAATTTGGCTCATCTGATATTTTTCCCTGAGGTCGTGGATTCTTTGGTGGAAGACCCTAGAGAGGAAAGCTGTTCCCATCACATCCTCCAATTCAGGACGCAGGCTTCAGTGCAATTCTCCCTGATGGGATGAAGCTGGGTGACTCGGCACGTGCACCATGATGTAGTACACCTCTTTCACAGGTACATGAACAGCATGAGAAAACTGGTTTATATATATCCCATAAACTAAAGCAGAAAATCCTCCTGAGTGTTTCACCACATTGCACAAAAGCGTTCAGCAAAACGTACCATCGATTGGCTATTCACCTTTAAAACACGGTTCGTCAACCAGAAGTAGAAGGAGATGTGCTTACATGATAGCAGTGTCCATCAGGAATCTGAGCACACTCCTTCCTATTGGAGAAAGGTCAGAAGCACTCCAAGTGGCCCAGGAAAAAAAAGAGTGACAAGAAAATCCACAGGTCTAGAGAAAATACTTGCAAATCACAGGTGAAGGTGAAGGTCTTGCATCCAAAGTGCACTTGTGACTCTTAAAACCCAACTAAGGAAAATAAGACAGCTGGTTTTAAAATGGAGAAAAGCTCAAATCAAGAACAGAAAAGCCAATAACTCAAATAAAAAATAGGCAGAGGATTGAATAACACATCTCTAAAGACGCACAAAGGGTTAATAAGCACACATGTGCTTTACATCATGCATCTTTAAGGAAATGCCAATCAAAACCATGCTGAGATATCACCTTGAAGTTGTTGGGTGACTGCTATAAAAAATAACAAAATGCCAGGCATGGCTGTAGTCCCAGCGACTTGGGAGGCTGAGGCAGGAGGGTCGCATGTTCGAGACCAGCCTCGGTGATTTAGTGAGGTCCTCAGCAACTTAGCAAAACCCCATCTCAAAACATATAAGGCACCAGGGATGTGGCTCAGTAGTAAAAAACTACTAGGTTCAATCCCCAGTATCTCCCCAAAACTAAATGAAATGACAAGTGTCGGCCTGTTCAGGGAGAAATGAAAACCCTTGCACACTGTTGGTGGGAATGTAAAATGGCACAGCTACAGTGGAAAACATACGTCAGTTCCTCAGAATATTACAAATACAACTACCATATAACCCAGCAATCCTGATTCTGTGCATATACCTGGAAAAATTGAGAGCAAGGATTCACAAAGATATTTGCATGACCAATTCATTGCAGCATTACATGCAATAGCCAAAGAGTGCAAGCTACCCAGTGTCCTTCAGGGAGAAATGGATACACTTCGTGCACCATACAGCGGGATGTTAGTCAGCCTTGAACGAGGAAGGAAATTGCCACACATGCCACACTGTGGACGATCCTCGAGGACGTTATGCTAAGCAAAGTAAGCCAGTCACAAAAGGACAGATACAGAATGGTTCTGCTCATAGCTGATCCCTAGAATGTCACCTCTACAGAGATGGGAAATAGAACCGTGGCTTTAGGGGCTGAAGGAAGGACAACCAGGGAGCTGTTGTTCAAAGGTTCAGAGTTTCAATTTTGAGAAACAAAGAGCTCTGTGGATGAGTGCCGAGTGGTGGTTGTGCAGCCCTGGGAATGGGCTTGGTGTCCCCAAACAGCAGACTTAGAAATGTCCTTAGACTGTACAGTCTCTGCTCTGCGTATTTTGCCACAATTGAAATAACACTTTTTAAATTTTTTTAGTTGTAAATGGACACAATACCTTTATTTTACTCATTTATTTTCAAATGGTGCTGAGGATCGAACCCAGTGCCTCCCACATGCTAGGCAAGCGCTCTACCACTGAGCTACAGCCCCAGTGTAAAAAAAAAAAAAAAAAAAAAAACATTTTTAAAGGGCAAAAGATCTGAACAGACACTTTACCAAAGGAAAGAGCGCATAGAATGTCCTCATCCATTGGGTTTTAATACCCCACTGGGGAGAGACGCCTGAACGTACAGCCGCTACTGTTGGGGTGGCAAGGTGACAGTGATCTCTCCCCACATACGCTCCATACCTGCCTGGCACAGGCGGCAGGATGGTGTCCACCATGCAGACCACAGGAGGATGCATCTGGAAACAGTGAGCCACCACAGGGTGGGGAGTCCGACTCCGTGGTGACAAACAGCATGCTGGGACCCACGGGGACAGGATTGGCTGGGCTGAATGGCTGCGGATGGCAGGGAACTAAAACTCACCCCTGGAGGGGGAACAGAAACCAGGCCTTGCCTTCCAATCGGCGTCGCTTGGCCAGGGGACATGATGGCAGAAGCTGCAGGGTGAGGGAACCTGTGGGCCGGCCATCCCAGGGCCTCCTGCTTGGCCCCAGATGTCAAGGCACATTACACAGGGCCTAGTGTCAGGTCTTACACCCCAACTGACCCTTCGTTACATGACATCGATTTCCACCTTGGAGATGACTAAGACTTTTAGGGAGTAGGAGAAATACCCCGCAGGAAAAGAAACCCATACGTGTGTTTTGTATGTAGAGAACCACAAACAACCCAAAGCATCTCACACACACACACACACACACACACACACACACACACACACAACCACCCAACTACAGACTATAGTTTTCTCAGTGCCCATGGAACATTCACCAAGGGAGACCCTCTCCAGGGACATAAAACACTTAAATGAATTAAAATCATTTTAAAACCATTATATTCAGGTTCTTAGATACACAGGACCATAAGGTGTGTGTATGATTATAAGAGGGGACTTATTAGCCGGGCTTACACAGTCCGAGGCTGGATGTCCCACCGTGGCCCTCTGCACGCTGGACAGCTGAAGGGAGGAACTTCTCAGTCTGAGAAGCTGGAGCCTCAGCACCAGAGGGACCAGTGAGGCTGTCCCGGGCTGAGACCGAAAGCCTGGACACTCCCCGGAGAGCCACTGAAGAGCGCCCGCCCTGGGAGAGGGAAGGAGTCAACTCCAGTGTCCACGGGTGACAGCAGCAGCCCTTGCTCAAGCAGAATGAGACTCCCATCCATGAGACCTCCTCCTGCTTCCAGCCCAGGTTCCATCGGGGCCCCAGCCTCTGGACAGTGCTGTCCATCGGGTCTCCACTAGTGTGCCGTCCTGTCGCGTTCCTCACGACTAAAACACTCAGGGTCCCTCCAGGGGAACTGGGTGTGCAAAATAACCACACAAGAGACAGAGGGACCTTTTTCTTTGGGGTCCTGTGATGGCTCCTCTGACCTTAAGGGTCCGCAGAAAGAGAGAGCGAGCGAGCGCATGCTGAACACTTGTATTGAGGAGAAGCCATTCAAATGAGGCCGAGGTCAGGTTTCAGGGGGCTGAGTCTAGCTTCCTGATGTCTGCTGTCAGCAGGTTGACTGACATCTAGGAAGGCCACCCCCAAAGGCAGAGAAAGAAAAGGGGACCCACAAAGGGAGTTTCTATGGAACATTCTATCCCAAACAGGGCAAG